CTGATAAATATTTGCGCGCGGGCTGCTGGAGCGGGGCTGCCCGCGGAGCCGCCGGAGCCTCCATCTGGAGGGCGCGCGCAGACGCTTGGCACGGGCGCCCTGGCACGGCCGCGCGGCGCGCTCGGGACGAGCGCCCTGGCACGGGCTCCGCGGCAGATTGGTGCCATCTGCCTCGGCTGCCCGCGGCCAGCGGCGGGGCTGGTGAGGGGCGATAACGGGCTGCCAGGCTGCAGACGCGCTGGCACCGAGCGCCGCCCCGGCCTCCCCGCGCTGCACCCGGCAGCCTGGGCAACCCCGCGCTCCTTGGGGACAAGCCACGCGGGCAGCGCTGCCCACACCGGCACTGCAAGGGGAAGCTCGCAGCAGGCTGGGCCCCTGGGCATGCAGAGGTGCCCGCGTGGGGCTATGGGGCTATGGGGCTGGGAGCAGCCTCCTCTGCCCCAGGTCCCCACTCCGGTTCCCTCCTGCTCCCAGAGCCCATCTGCTCCCCTGGCCCCAGTCCAGCACTGGGGTAGGGATGTAGGGGAGAAGGGGGCAGGGATGTGGGATGCCGGGATGGGGTGCACAGGGATGGGGGTGCAGGACCACGGGGTGCAGGGCTGGAGGATGCAGCACTGGGGGAGGCGCAGCACTGAGGGGTGCAGAAGTGAGGGGTGCAGCACTGAGGGGTGCGGCACTGAGGGGTACAGTGCTGGGGGGCATGCAGCACTGGGGGGGTGCAGTGCTGTGGGGTGCAGGGCTGGGGAGTGCAGGGCTGGGTGGGTGCAGCACTGGGGGAGATGAAGCCCTGGGGGGTGCAGGGCTGGGGGGTGCAGGGTTGTGGGGTGCAGCACTGGCGGGGATGCAGCACCAGGGGGGCTGGCGGCTCCCGGGAGAAGCCGGCAGGAATCTCTCGCAATGCTTCAAAGGTCCTGGCGCAATCGGCTGGCGAGATTGATTACCATTTTACTGCAAAGCTTTTGACTTTCACCAGCGACCTCCGAGCCTCCCCCCCGGSCCCCCCCCCGCACGCCCAGCCCTGGGCTGCAGCGCCAACCCCTCCCCCACTGCAGTGCGCAGAGCCCAGCCCTGCAACAAGAACTGCACCCAGGCCTGCACCCAGGCCTGCAATGAAAACTGCACCCAGTCCTGCACCAAGAACTGCACCCAAACCTGCACCAAGAACTGCACCCAACCCTGCACCCAGCCCTGCACCAAGAACTGCACCCAACCCTGCACCCAGCCCTGCACCAAGAACTGCACCCAACCCTGCACCCARMCCTGCACCMAGMMCTGCACCMARMMCTGCACCCAACCCTGCACCCAACCCTGCACCCAGCCCTGCACCCAGCCCTACACCCAAACCTAGAAGAACTGCACCCATCCCTGCAAGAAGAACTGCACCCAGCCCCACAAAGGGAACGGTGCTTAGTCCTGCACCCAGTCCTGCACCCGCTTCTGCAACAGCCTCTGCGCCCAGTTCTGTGCCCTGCCATGCTGGGCTGGCACCCAGAGCAAGGGGGAACTCAGGCTGGGGGGACGCCGAGGGCTGTTGTGCGGGCCCAGGCGTCCGGCGAGCATGGCCCCACGCTGCCCCCCACCTGCTAGCACCCCCGGCGCCCCATGCGCAGCGCCCCAATCGCCCCCCACCCATAATCACGGCACTGTTGGCACCCGAATAGCCGGGACGTGGCACAGAGCGACTGCAGGTGCCATCAAAGTGCCCCCCCGCCTGCATTGGGATGGATTTAACCCCCACCCCGGGGGTGCTGCTGTCCTGTATCCCTGGGGCTGGGTACAGGGGTGCAGAGGGCACCCATGGGTGCCCAGCGGAGCCCCCACTTCACAGTGACCCCAGGAGCAGCGGGGGACACGGGGGTCCCTTGGCACTGTGATGAGGGGTGCAGAAAGCAGCACCATGGAGCAGAGCATCAGTCGGGGTTCCTGGGGGGGGGGCACTTTGCTGYGCTCCCCCCGCGCCACCCCCACCCTGTGCGGGGGGGGGCAGCACTGCAGGACCTCCCCCCCCTCCCCGCGCCCCCCCCTCGCGTTGCGGCTGGGAAATTCTGCTGACGGCAGCGAAACGGGGCGGCGGGGGGGAGCGGGGGGG